CTTAGATCACTGTCCACATTTCAGGTGGTGAAGCTTTGGGTAGCCCCCTAGTGCATAGCACCTATTACCTTTTTCTTGCTGCTGTTACAGAATTTGTGCATATCTCTTACAGCTGTTGCTAAATTGTAGATTTTTTTTTGTTCACACACCTGATTCTTGCTAGGTTGTAATTTGCTAGAAATAAAGGTTTGTACTTATCTTTGTATTAGCTCCTTTGTCACTAATGGCGTGTGTGCCCAGGAAGGATGCTATCCTTAGGTTTCCTTAGCCATAAGGGTCACTGTATAAACAAGACAGGTTAGCACGAGAGATTCTTAACAGATGTATCTAATCAAAGTTTTATATGACAGAGGGTCCTCACAATGAATACCTACAGACCCAGGAAAAACTGTCACGTTTCTGTAAGCTGGATGACACGTGGATAGCTGTGTAGAGTGTGATTGGGTAAAGATGTAATGCAGTAGGCCCAAGGAGAAGCTTGTCTGGAGTCTTCATGGTCAGTGGAGCATTCCTTCTGGGTGATGGGCCAGGACTCCTTCCAAAATGGAAGTTTTATGACTCACTGGCTGGCAAGGGTCATTTTGAGTCAATCTCACCACATAGCCCAGGCTTGTGGCTTGTCTTGGGTTCATGATTTCCTTGTCTTTGCCTCCCAAATGCTGGGATTACAGGCACATGCTGCCATACCCTGGCCTGATGAGAGAATTCGGGGAAAAAGTTGAAAACAGTATTTTCTGTGTGTTGTGGGAGAACTTTGGTTCTTAAGGCTAGCTGTGAGTAAAGGAATTCTAGTTTCTCCAGCTGCTTTGGGAGAAAAGGGAACATGATAAATTCAGAGACTTTTTCTAAGTCCTTTCAGTTTCCTTCAGTTCAAGAAATAGCATTCACAAGTGCCACACTTGGGTTTGGCTTTCTGAGTCCTAGTAGAACATTGTGGTGTTTAGCAAATGGGTAAGTTGTAGAAACACAGCTGCCTCACGGTGTGGCTATGGGGAAGGTTTCTCTTGTAGATATGCGGAACAGAACAGCCAGAGGCATCTGGAAGAGCAGAGAGAGAAAGCAAGCAGTAGACTAAGCATGGTAGACTGACCACGTCCAGCAGACTGCTGGGCCTCGCCGTGAGAAAAGCAGGAGGCTGTTCAGGGGGAGTGAGAGAGGAAGACAGAACCAGGAGAGGAAGTTTGGGGAAGAGGTGTGTGGGAAAGAGCGAGGGTGTTAGGTTGGCTTGGGCCCCCG